AGCCCTGGCCCAGGCTGCCCAGGGAGGCTGTGGAGTCTCCTTCTCTGGAGATATTCCAGCCCCGCCTGGCCGCAGTGCTGTGCAGCCTGCTCTGGGTGACCCTGCTTGGGCAGGGGGTTGGGCTGGGTGACCCACAGAGGGCCCTGCCAACCCCGACCATTCTGTGATTCTGCGAGGCTGGGCCACCTTGAGGATGTCCACCCAGACATCACTCTGCAGCCCCGGCGTGTCTGGTGGCTGGTGAAGGCTGTTCTGGAGGAGCAGGGCTGCGAGGCGTTGCTTGGTTTAGGGCACGTTGTCCTGCTGCCTTATGAAATCCTTCCCCTTCAGAAGCTGTGTCCTGCGTCTCGTTCCATCACCCCACAACAAGACCTGTGTGGCGGGTCCATGGAGTTGGTTCTCACCACAGGTTGAAGAGTTTCTCAGTCTGAAGATGAAACTCGCCCTCCTTTCTTCAGGCCATGGTTTAGCAGGCATGGGGGTGTTGGGTGGATGGTTGGACTCGATGATCTTAGAGGTCTTTTCCAACCTTCATGATTCTGTGATTCTGATTCCTCCAGGCTCCCTGTAACACGAGTTTCCCCCGAGCGTGTGCCCCTGGCAGTGCCCACCGCAGCCGGGAGCACACCGGCCGAAGGGGACCTCAGCTTGGAGCTGGGCTGTCTGGTCTCTGCAAAGGACACGGTCACGCATAGGACAGAGAGGGGGGCGGTGGGAGGAGGGGACCAAAGCAGCAAGGTCCTCTGGAGACGTGCGTCGCCCGAGGAGACCCGTGCTGCGCGCGGGTGGTTCCCGGAGGGTGCTGTGTGTGGGGGTCTCAGCAGGCTCACCGCACGGGGGGTCCAGACCTTGCCGTTGAACGGCAAAGCCACCCGGGCTGCGAGTCCTCTCTCCTACGGCAAAGCCGGACCCTGTTGGTTGGACGGAATCATTGCTCTTAGCTCTGGAGGCAGCATTTTCTCGAGGAGGATTGCGAAGCGAGGCTTTAAATTAATCACTTTGGTTACTCTTTAGCACTGGGTATTATAAGTTCATATGGGAGGATTTTGAAGGATATGACATACTTTTTTTTTCTCCCAAGATCTTTCAAATCTGGCTGATAAATTTGAGAAGGAGCTCAGCTTGGCAAATGGTCCTCCCCTTATCAAACCAGTTTATTCCAAAGCTGGTCTCCAGTGTGCGTCTGAACTCCAGGAGTGCCTCTACCCAGGTAAGCTGTTTATTCTGGATATCTTTTCGAATTTAAGATTCTATTTGACAGACCTTCTAGGAAGATGATGGGATATAAATATAAGATTTTAGGCGAACAACTGTTGGAGTATTTAAAAGATGGAACCGCTCGAAGGACGTAAATGTCCCTGATTTTTCAGGTGTCTCAGTCTCTTCTCCCGGTTTTGCCACTAAGGATAACCCCTGACGCACACCATTGCTGAGAATATAGCTAGTGCCCAGGGGTTTGAGCACTGTCTGCCCCTGTTAGGCTCAGAAGTCTTCTTACGGGCAAAAAACAGAGAGAGAGAGAGAATAATTCATTTCTAGCGTAACTGAAATCTAAGTAGTCTAATCAAAGAATTATTATTAGTCGAGATCCTGTGATTACAGATGAAGAAAGAAAAGGACAATGAATCAATACCACTGTGAAAATAAATAACGATGACGATGAGTTCCCTGCGCGTTTGCTAGTACCCACCCCTGTTCGTGGCGTCACGCGCAGCCTCCCACCACCACGCCGGGTCCGCATCCCCGTCCTCCCACCGTCCACATCCGGATGGCTCCAGACGGCCGGCGCTGGTCAGGGTGAGGCGGCAGCATCCCTGCTTTGTTCCTCGGGAGGACGTAGTTGGTGCTGATGGTTTCTTTCTCCTGCTCCGGGATACGCTGGGGTCGCTTGCTGTAGGTTTGCTAGTGCGGTTTTACACCTTGTTCTTTCTTCACCGGTCTGCAAGCGCGCGGCTCCGTGGGGCGTTGGTAAACATGGCGTGGATCCCAGAAGTCAGGTACTTGTTCTCCTTAGCCTTAAAGCAGCTTTGGTTCAGCTCTGGGGCCGCGTTTCCTGATCTCGCCATCTGAGAGCTGCTGCTGGCCCTGGGCTCTGCTGGGCTCCGTCTCTCCCCGGCCCACGCCTTGGATGCAGCCCTGCATCGCACAGCTCCAGAGCTCTGCTGTCCGGCCGGACCTGTGCTCCCGCGCTCCGCACCGTCACGTGGGAGGCGGAAAGGTCTCCTCCCGCGCAGGTGACCTGCTGGGTGCTACTCTCTGCGTAAGCTGATGGTTGTTATCCACAGCCGTCTGGTCATTAGACAAAATGCTATCACCACAGGCAAGCCAAGTAAAAACAAAGCTCCAAACAGGTCGAGAAATATTCAGCTCAAGCAAGCAGGCAAGCCTCTGACCTGAGGGCTCGCAAACCCCTTGCCGTGCCGCGGTGGAGAACCTTGCCCTGGTTTTATTTGTTAGGTGAGGGCTTTGGTTATTTCAGAAACACCTCAGCTATAAAAGCAGCGATGGTTGCTGAGCGACAGCTACTCCCACAGAGCCAGCCCTGAAGGACGAGGGGACAGGAGTGGCCAAGGCAGCGTGAGCCCCGCCATGGTCCTGCCGAGCGGCTTTAGGCCAAGCGCTGGGACACAGCGGGGGGGGGCATGAAGTCCAGGTCCTTCTGCGGTATCAGAACCGCTCCCATCGGCAGCAGACTGACACTTTCTCAATAAACATAGCCCGTGGATTATTTTTTCCCCAAATTCTGACCTCAGGATGTATGTATTAATTGCTAATTTTTCTAATGATTTTTGTAATTTTGCTATCTTTTCACATCTGTTTTCAGGATTACGCTCAGATGATCGATTTACTGATCGGTTAATAGTGTTTCGGTGCAGGATATGCAATGGCTGTTTCTTGGTGAGGATGTGTGTTTTGAACGGCAGGCGGTGACGGGGTCGGTGTAAATGTGTGCCTGCGTTTGAGATTTGTCTGTGTGTTACCATAGAACCACAGAATCATGAAGGTTGGAAAAGACCTCTAAGATCATCGAGTCCAACAGTCAACCCAACCCCCCCATGCCTGCTAAAACACATCCTGAAGTGCCACATCTACTGGATTTTTGAACCCCTCCACGGATGGGGACTCCACCACTGCCCTGGGCAGCCTGGTCCAATGTCTGACTACTCTTTCAGGAAAGAAATTTTCCCTAATACCCAATCTGAACCTCCCCTGAATCAGCTTGAGGCCATTGCCTCTCGTCCTGTCGCTGGTTACCTGGGAGAAGAGACCAACCCCCCTCACTCCACCCTCCCTTCAGGCAACTGTAGAGAGCGATGAGGTCCCCCCTCAGCCTCCTCTTCTCCTGACTGAACAGCCCCAGCTCCCTCAGCCGCTCCCCATCAGACTTGTTCTCCAGACCCCTCCCCAGCCTTTATGAATGTGCATGGCTGTAATTTTAACCTGTAAATTCAATATTTGTGTTAATATTTTTTAAAATTACTGTTTGCTGTCAATTTGGAGGAGTACCAAGTTTAGTGCTGGGATGAGAGGTATCTTCATGTATTCCCCTGTACTTAAGAGGAACGTGTGTCTGTACGTCACGAGACTGGTGATGCTCCTGGGTACCTTTCCCCTTGCGATGTGCGATGTTTTACCAGTCAGGAGGGCAGGAGATGCTGCAAACGGGCTGCTCCATCTGCTTCAGCCAGAAGACAGCCAAGTCTCTCACTGTGGCAGCAACATACCTGTCAGAGGAACACCTAAATAACGAGGAGGCAGGTAGAAAGGAGGCAGATCCCACCAAAGAGATGACTTCTAACTCCATTTCGAAGTCAGGCGTGCCTGAAGCATGGAGTTTATACCTCTTTTATTCATATAAGAAATCCTGACAGATTGACCGCCAGGTATCATGGGAATGCTGAGTTTTTTTACTCACAATAAATCATTTCCTTCGATGACCTCGTGGTGTAATGGATTCCTCCAGTAACTGCTGTGTTGAGTAAATTATTTGCTGTATTTTGTTTTTCTAATTTTGGACTTCTTTTTTCTAGCGGGTTCTAATAAAATCAATTGGAAGCCAGAAACCATCTGCGCAGACCTGTTCTCAGAGTATCCTGGATTAGAGGACTTAATGAAAAGCCAAATCTATCCCTTGAACAAGGGGGTACTGATATTTTCGAGGAGCTGGGCTGTTGACATTGGATTGCAGAGAAAAAAGGATGTGGTGTGTGATGTTCTCTTAGTAGCTGAAAATGAGTATCCAGTACTGTATACTGTAGTCAAGGACGCCTCTTCTGCTGAATCTGAAAACTCGAGAGAAACTGCGTATGCATTAAAGCAGAAACTAGTCAATGAGGGAGGATACGCTTCAAAAGTGTGCGTGATTCCCCGCATACTGCACCTGAATGGCACAAAGAACCAGATGGAAGTTGCAGAGGATGATGTTCCCCAGCAAGAAAACCAAGAAAACCCGTGTGATTACGCCAGCTTGTACCCAGAGAATTACGTCCTCACCTCCAGGGACATCCCGGCGTTCCTGCGTGCGCTGGTGATTGTTGTGCTGCGCTTCAGGTCCTACTTAAGTGACCACCTTGGCTCTGAGATTTTCAGCCTTCTCACTGTCCGGCAGTACGAGCTGCTCTCCAAGAACCTGCGCAAAGCCAAGGAGCAGTTTGTCCTTGGTCTTCCTGGAACAGGGAAAACAATTGTGGCTTTGAAGATCATCGAGAGAATAAGAAACACTTTTCACTGTTCTGCAAAAGAGGTACTGTACATCTGTGAAAATCAGCCCTTGAAGAAGTTTGTGGGGTAAGCAGTCATGTGCATTTCCTCTTTTTTCTTTCATTCCGCCCTCTGTACATGAAGCACAAGCCCTGCTGATCTTACATCCCTTTGCCAAATGCAGAACTTTGGCTGACAGGAACACACACCTGCTGATCTTACATCCCTTTGCCAAATGCAGAACTTTGGCTGACAGGAACACACAATCATCATCTCAAGGAAGTTGTTAATATTGAAAGTAGAACTGAGCTGAGCTCTGGCCCCGATCCAGCCTTCACTGCCTGCAGCGAGAACCCCGCGTTCAGGGATCGCTGGATTGTGTTAGACCTGCAAAAGACGATGGCCTTCGTTGAACAGGCTGTTACGGCTGGTGCTGACGCCAGAAGCACCCACCTGCCTTCCTCTGCTCTGCCTCCACGCTGCCTGCGCGGCGCCTGCCGCAAGCTCTTCTGCAGCTGTGCTAGGAACCGGCCCTTGGACCTGGGCCATCTAGACAGGGAAAGCAGAAACTAATCCCTTTTTGCTGAGGGTTGCGGGCAGAGCAGTTCCCCAGTCCTGTTCTCGCTGCGTTTCCATTTGTGTCGGCGCGGGGAGGGGGGAGCAGGGCAGAGCGGTGCCCCTGCGCAGCCCTGCCGCGCGTCCCGCGGGTGGGCTCGGGTCTCCTCCGGGGGCAGATCCAGAGCCGGCTGGTGGGGCCGTGCAGCACTGCCTTGTGCATCGCCCATCCCTTGGAATAAACTTTTCTGCTGGGAAAACGATACAGCATGCTGCAGCTGAGATGGGGACTGTGGGATTTTCAGGCAGTAAGCAGCAATAGCCCTCCAGGCAAGAACCCACTGGGAAATGGAGGCAGTCAACAGGGGTTTGTCTGATCACATCTTCTTTGCATGTACCATATCGGTTGTTTGGGTTTTGGTTTGGTGTGTTTTTTTTCAGAAATGAGATCTGCCAGTCTGTGACACGTGTGGCCTTCTTAAACGGGAACTTCCCCGAAGTGAAACACATTGTGGTTGATGAAGCTCAGAATTTTCGTCCTGAAGAAAACTGGCACCAATGCGCCCGGGAGCTAGTCAGGAAGAAAAGTGGCATTTTCTGGATCTTCCTGGATTTCTTCCAGTCCACTCACCCATATGGTTGCGGTCTTAAGTTTTCAGAACTATATCCTCAGGAATGGTTGACCAAAGTGGTCCGTAATGCCAAGCGAATATCCAATGTCATGTTTCATGTAATGGAGGAAATCCTCCGGGAGCGTAACACAGATATGCCCTACGAGGTGCTGGAAGAGTTGTTTAAACAGGCTGAATGTGCCCATTCTTTGCCAGGTGACTACATCATAAAAAAGAACATGGGGACATTGGAAATGGCAGAGTACGTGACCAGGCAGTGCAGCAGCTACATCCAGCAAGGCTACCCCGTCAGAGATATCGCAATCCTCTGCAGCACGCAGCACGCGGCCCAGGCCTTCGCTCAGATACTGGAACCCAAGCTAAGACGACAAATAAGGAAATTCAGGGTGGGGTTGGTCTTGGGGCTAGCGGAGAGTGTTTCAGAAAACGTCATTGTTCTTGACAGCATCCGACGCTTCTCAGGCCTCGAAAGGAGGATTGTGTTTGGCATCCACCCCGTCCCTGCACAGAAGGAGATCTCTCTCCATCTTTTGCTCTGCGTGGCATCCAGAGCCAACACCAAACTCCATTTGCTGTATCACAGAGAAGAGATGTTCTTAAGAGACCCATCTTTAGACAACAGTTGATTCTTACCAAGGGCTAGGGACACTAGCATGCTTCACTCATGCTGTGTTCAGTGATGTTACAGGGCAGCCTTAAGGGTTTTTCTTTATGCCCTTTCTGTAGTCTATGCAAAAAAAAAAAATTTAAAAAATTATGCAGTTTCATATACATATTTCATCATGTGTAGGCCTGTAGGATGTCATTAAATTGATTTTAATTAAGGGACATCTCCACCTGGAGAGAGCAGATCGCTGAAAATGGCAATTGCAGGAGGAAGTCAACAGTTACAAACTGCTTGGATAAATCACGGAACGGTTTGGAGCCCTGTGCTTTCAGTTCCTCTGCTCTCGGAGCTGACTGCGGATCCTGAGTCATTTCAGCACTACCGGAGTGGAACCACTGGTGAGAAACGCAACAGGGGCCATCCTTGTTTATGTCCCTGCTGGTGGAAATGATCAAAACCCTGCTTGTGGGGAGAGTTTTGTGCCTTTTGAGCCAAATCGTCTCTTTTGTCATCCGCAAAGGTAGAGCCGCAGCCTGCTTTTGGGGGTGGTGGTGACCATCTTCGCCTCTGCTGGGAATGGGGCTGCGGGTTTGTGGTCGCAGCGACTCGC